CTTTCTTTCTCTTGCCTGGTTGCTCTGGCTGGACCTCCACTACTATGTTGAATAGCAACGGGGAAAGTGAACATCCTTTTGTTGTTCCAGTTCTCAAGGCAAATGCTTCTAGCTTTTGTCTGTTCAGTATGGTATTGGCTATGAGTTTGTCATAGATGGCTCTTCTAATTTTGAGGTATGTTCCTTCAATGCCTACTTTGTTGAAGGTTTTTAGAATGAAAGGATGTTGAATTTTATCAAAAGCCTTTTCTGCATCTATTTCGATAATCATGTGGGGTTTTTTTTAGTTCTTTTATGTGATCAATCATATTTATTGATTTGCCTATGTTGAACCAACCTTTCATCCTAGGAATAAAGCCTACTTGATCGTGGTGGATTAGCTTTTTGATGTGCTGATGGATTCAGTATGCTAGTATTTTGCTGAGGATTTTGCATCTATATTCATCAGATATATTGGCCTGAAGTTTTCTTTTTTACATTATGGCTCTGCCATGTTTTGGCATCAGAATGATGCTGGTCTTATAGAATGAGTAAGGGAGGAATCCCTCCTCAATTTTTTTGAATAGTTTCAGTATGATTGGTATCCACTCTCCTTATATGTCTGGTAGAATTTGGTTGTGAAGTCATCTGTTCCAGGGCTTTTTCTGGCTGGTAGGCTTTTTATTGGTGATTCAGTCTTGGAACTTGTTATTGATCTGTTCAGGGTTTTCATTTCTTCTTGGTTCAATCTTTGGAGGTTATGTATTTCCAGGAATTCAGCCATTTCTTCTAGGTTTCCCAGTTTGTGTCCATAGAGTTGTTCATAATAGTCTCTCAGAGTTTTTTGCTTTTCTATGGGGTCAATGGTAATATCTCCTTTGTCATTTCGATTGTTTTTATTTGGGTCTTCTCTCTCTTTCTCTTTGTTAGTCTAGCTAGTGGTCTATTAAACTTACTTGTTCTTTCAAATAATCAACTCATGGTTTTGTTGATCATTTGTATGGTGTTTTGTGTCTCAATTTCATTCAATTCATCTCTGATTTGGTTATTTCTTATCTTCTGCTAGATTTTGGGTTGGTTTGCACTTACTTTTTTGGTTCCTCTAGGTGTGATGTTAGGTTGTTAATTTGAGATCTTTCTAACTTTTTGAAGTCGGCATTTAGCTCTGTAAACTTTCCTCTTAACACTGCTTTAACTGTGTTCCAGCAATCCTGGTATGTTGTATCTTTATTTTCATTAGTTTCAAAGAATTTCTTGATTTCCACCTTAATTTCTTTGTTGACTCAAAAAGTCATTTGGGGCAAGTTGTTTAATTTCCATGTAATTGTGTGGTTTTGAGAGATGTT